CGGAGGCAGGTTTCAAGATGAGCGAGGTTGGAAGCTCGCAACAAGAGGAATTGTATCACATACCGTATAGACCAGATGAAAAACGGCCCAACCAGCAGCACGGTGATGAAGTGGTCAGTATACCTGCGTTCTCTCTGAGGTCCCAGGTTGACAATATTTGGGTAGCTGGATCTGCAGGGCTGATTAAACCCTACCGTGTTGAAACAGATGTATCTTGACTTTTCAGTTCACGATTCATTTGCACTGTATATGAATCGAATCAAATTCTCTATTACTCTCATGTAACAATTCGTAGCATGGACTGAAGTGCTTCTAGCGAACAAGTAGATGGAAAATTATCCAGTGAGGAAAACCAAGTTGAATGGTTTAGACGTCTAAAATTATTATTTGTATATCATGAAAGAAGGGATTTTCAGAAAGAACTTCGATCAAACTTAGGGGACCTTATTCTGTTGCAAAATTACGCAACGGCGGTTTTATCCAACACAAGATTCTATTTCAAGGTAAGACATGCCTCGCGGCTCTCGGGTGCCATGGAGCAATCATCTATCGATCACAACACTCTGGGCCAAGGTAAACAAAACACACAAATCCCGTGTGCATAACTGACGAGATCGGTTTCATATGTTGATCGACAAGAAACAGCATCATTGAAGGTATAATGAAGCTCTTGCTAGTGTGATTAATGAGGTTCAGACAATAACACGACGTCAGTGAATATGGTAGTTGGAATGGACGTCGATTTACGTTTGCAAAGTTTATAACTGACTGAATGGTGAACGTTATGTGGACCATTTGTGGTACTTGAAATAAACGCTCATGGACACAATCAAAGCGAGAGACAAACATTATTTCACACAAACGTGGACGCTCACCTCGTGTGTACGTGGATGTCAACTAGGCCGGGTAAAAACAGGATCCTGCTGGATGTAATACACCGAATAGGAAGAAGACGCGAGGATTTGCTATGATCGACTTCTTTGCCTGTGCGGCGAATGGGTAACAATGAACCGTCTACCTCAAGCTCTGATGGAGCCTGACCACCATAATGCCGATAGAGGGCCTCGGCCAACAGTTTTATCAGCTTTACATCAGTGATTAGTGGAACATTCGTCTCAACCGCCAAACGTCTCGTCATGTAACCTAAGAAAAAAGTGAAACAGTTACCGTGATTAGCAAATGGTACCAGATAACGAAAATTAAGATGCTAATAAAAAAAATAGCAGAGATATTAGACGATGGCATAGTAATAAAACAATCACGAAGACTAATGAACAGGGTGGCGACCAAGTGGTTGGCGCTGTCATTAGCTTTCCCTGGGCTAAGGTCCGAAGTTTGAGCCCACGTCAGCCGACATACTGTCACCCCGCTTGAGATTAAGTCTGTCCTGTTAGGACATTTTGAACTTCACCAATCTGATTGTTCAGTGCACATAATTGATATAGGAATGTCACTAAACCTTTGATAGAGTATCTATTGAAACAGGTTTCAGCCTTCTGCTTACACCTCCAAAAGCATTGTTCAGAATAGTCGTTTTAATTCATTGTTGAACTATTTTGAACAGTATATTCGCAAAAAACGTCCCATGTCGCCCATCTGAGAAAAAATTACATACGGGGTTCAAATATATGAATGACTAGACGAAAGATTACTGGATATGCAAACCTTACGAGCGGCAATCACCGTGAAAACGGTCCGGTGCTTCCAGGGGAATTTTGTCTAGTCAGTCACAAAATATATATATATGATACTCACCTCTTGTGACAAACGCGGATTGGCGCCGATAACCGGTCTTCCGCATGGTCAGACTGATAATCAGAGCGAATTGTTTTTCCGTCAGATATTGTTGCACAGTTCGTTCTCGTGTGTCCACATCACAGGGGTGGGATAACCTACAATAGAGCGAGATCCACAGCCAGACATTAATAAACCATAAGGTGTTTTACCGTTTCAAAAATTAAGAGATGGAACTATAGATCTAGAAGTGGGTTGCAGTGTGGTCCGTGAGCGATCCAATTTCCAAACAAATCCGAAGATCGGTCGACTGATTTATTCATGGTAGTTGGATCTCTAAATAGCAGTTATCATGAAATATTCCTTTCATTTGATTGCAACTGTGTTGTATGGTATAATCGAATCAGTTAGCAAGCAACAGCATCAACGGAGAATCAACCCCGAAATAAGAACGTATAATTCATGAAGCCCAAGCACAACAAAAAAATGGCACTTGCATGGTCTTCGCGACTTCAGAATCCTCAAAAGGCCATTGTAGTGGTATAATTGAAATGCCTTGTGTCTGATAGAAGTCGGCGGTTCCACAACTCCCGTATAGTTTGTAGCCCAAACGTGAGAGTTGGGTTACGCTGTAATAAACCGTAAATACACAAAATGATGAAAGTCACGGGTGTATAGAGGAATGTTTTCTCAAGCGCATTATCAATAACATCCAAAGGGCTCGATAATGATAGTAAAAGTAAAAGTAGCAATAATGATAATCGGTTTCAGTTTATATGAGTGTCAACTTTGCACTGTTGAGCTACGGTTTTCCGTTACTGTCAGTTGACTACCCATTTGGTCAACAACTAAGGAAGGAGCTAAAACCAGCTAAATGAAGCCTGTATTGGGAGGGAGTAGATTTACATGCGCCAGTAGTTACAACACCTAGTGTATCGATCACGGGGTTCGCAACCAGGAAGAAACTGCGATCGCGGTTTCCATGAGCTGTTCCCACACCTAAGGTTGGCTATCATAGCCTCTAGCCCAGCGAGAAACTGCCACGACGACGCAGAGGAAACCTATAGGGAGCCATGCATAACAGCCCAGTCAGAGAAATCTATGAAGGTCAGGTATGTGCGTCAGTGCATGATCAGCATTAATCACCGCTGTGATTGCGTCATATGCTTTAACAAACAAATCTGAGCTGCAACGCTGTGTATATTACACGGACTTCACGACAAGTGGGTATAGAAAATCAAAGGAGTAGTAGCAGTTTTGATCAGTAGCTCAAAGGTAATGGGACTAGAACCAATATAAAATTGATCATCGAGAAAGAAAAAAAGGAGAGTCTGGTATGAGGAGACAATAAAAGACATCGATGCGAATACATATCCCTTCGCGTTACGTGCCTTGTGAGAAGCAGGAGTATATATATACTCGCAATAACAGAAGCAAACGGTGACTCACCTGGTCATCAGTTCGACTTTGTGTTTATAACTACCAATAGATAAAAAGATATTCTCCCGAGGTTTCGGCAGACGTCCGTTCGTATTGAGGAGTGCCGCTGACTGAGCAAGCAAATAGGCTTCGTACCGATCCTGACCGAAACAGGCAACTTCGCCCGTGCTAACCATTTCCACGCCCAGTAGAACTTCCGCACCGAGAAGACGCGAGAAAGAGAAAACTGGAACCTGAACAGGGGAACAAGGGGAAGATAGTTTGTATCGTACGAAATTATTCTGAATATACGAGGTTATCCGGAGCACACGTAAAAACTTGTTGCTATCACATGATTGAAGATTACAGAACACCAACCCAGTAGATAATAATCAAGTTACTCGCTTATACATCAAAACCTGCGATTGGGTTAATCAATTCATATTCCACTTTCACTCCAACGTAATCAAAGTTAATAATAAGTCCAAAAATTATAAACTTCGTTTTTTTGCTTTGGAAGCAGGTTGACTCATGTCATCCATGAGTTCTCCTACACCTCCCCCCCCCCCCAATCGCCCCCAATAACTCGAACCGATGCGTGTGTGACGACCAGAGTGTGAGTAAAATCCGGTCATGGAACTGGAATGTTGCTTATTTCTCTTCGCATTTTGTCATGTTTTCTCCCCCACGCCCTCCAATAACTTTGTGACATAAATTGTGATGTAGTTGCCTGTGGATGAATCACCGCAAACGAGCTTGTTAGCTACTTTGTTTTCTTACAATGTGTAAAAATGGTATATTCGGACAGTTCTCCTAACCGGTAGATACATTTGCAACGTAAGAAAATCAAAGATTCCATTCCCCACAATCTGCACTTTTTTTCAATGTGTACCTTCAGTCTTACTCTTAGGTTGTTTTGCTTGCCTTTCCAAGAAAGATTTCCGAGTTCCGCCGATTCGTTGGTTTTCATTGTAGCTGGGTTGGGTGGCTGACTAAGCTTGGCGAGCAACTGAACACCAAATTCCATAGTTTTAAGACGCAGTTTACAGGTGATCAGCAGAGCATCTGCGAGTAACATAAAAGGGATACGAAAACTTTGAACCTCACCCAACCTTTTCACACGGACCCAACCTCCTATCGGCTACAGATAACAAGATCACTATTCCATCATACACCCGTGGGTTCAAATGAACACAAATTTCCAACCGTTCCCTAGTTGAAGCAGATTCGATCAATAAACAACCCACTGAAAGTGATTTTCCTGAAAGTTACAATGTTTAATTGTTGGATTTTTATCCCTCTATGAGACGATAAGCGTACATTTTTTGGCTGGCATACTCATAATGTTCACAACATGTAAAACAATTGCAGAGTAAAAATGAAACAAACCTTCACTCCAACGTGACCAGGAATACCAGCAGTTACATCTACTGCCGGCTCAAGGAAGCCACGCGACCCAGATAAACGATCAGTACTCGAGCAACTACTAGGCGGATGTATTGAGTCCCGCGCAGATCCCAAGATGCATCGAGTTGCCGCAGCCACAAAGTCGTACTTCAACGTCTTAGACACAAACGGAAACGAACGTGAAACGCGTAGGTTGGCCTCGATAATCTGCAAACGATTGTCTTTAGCAATAACTTGCAAGTTGAACGGCCCGGAAACTTGAAGTTCATCCGCTAATGCCACAATTAATTCACGAATACTACCAAGTGTTTCTGCGTTCAAATCTTGTGGCGGAGTGACTAATGTGGCATCACCGGAATGCACCCCCGCGTTTTCCACATGCTCGGATACGGCCACAGCAATCACACGACCAGACTGTGCAACAGCATCCACGTCGATTTCTTTTGCGTCCAAAATGAACTGGGTGATCACAACCGGGTGTTCCGGACTAATCGATTTCGCTGCGGTCAGATACGAGACCAAATCCTGGTCGTCGTAAGCCACGTTCATCGCTGCACCGGATAAGACATAACTTGGACGAACAAGACAGGGATACCCGACCTATAGAGAAGGTAAATGATGTGTGCATAGACAAAATAAACAACCGCATCAGCATGGAATACATAGTTAAACCACAGAGATGAATATGCACCAATTTATTCACAAAAAATGACTAGAAACAACTTCATCAGGCGTTTCCGTATGTTAATTATCAACTTCATCAAACGCACGTAAGAAAAACCGTCTTGAAGCGAGTGCAAAATAGACGGACAGGACAGGGAAGCGGACAACGTGTTCACCAGGTGAACAGAATTAGACAAGCTTATAATGCACAGTTGTTTTATTTTTATTTTTCTGCCTTTATATTGAATACATAGGTGAATATACAATTTTTCGTGAGGGGAAAGCGGACAATCGAATGGCTACAATATGTAACACAGAGGATAACTTAATCATGTGATGGTAGGGCCCCCTGGGAGATAAACTGGAGACCATAACCGTTTCACCGCCCTGTTGCAACTCAATACGTGTTCCTTTTGCTTTTGCACTTTGACATGCTAGAACCAAACCAAAAGCTTACCATAGACTTTAGTGTTGACTTATGAATGTATAACACCTCACTAAGTACACAAAAAAAATTTTCGTGGATTAAACCTCAAAAACTGATAACTCTCTATAGATAAAGGTTTTCAAAACACTGCCGCTTACCCGAAGATGATTTGCTGAGGTTTTGAAATTCATTTGCATATATACGTCGTCCTGAGTCGTGTTTTGAGGGTGACTGTTTCCCACGTCTTAGTTGCCGTGGATATATATATATATATATATATATATATATATATATATAT